GCCGCTGAGCGTCACTCCTCGCGTCAGTTTCAGACCTCGCTGACACATCTGCCGTGTGCATGTGCCGCAACCTCGCGGGAAGTCAAACCCTGAGGTATGTGACGGTTTCAGAAGTGCCACGGTTGACGGATGGTTCGCTGGGGTACGATATTCAACGGTTAATAAATCATCGAATATTTTTTTTTCAACGAGATACAGAAAACGTAAGCTGTTCAAAGGGTACTGCTTGCTTCATAATCACTTCAGCAATATGCAATTATTATATTCACCAACACAGAAGCTGTATATCTATATCCTTCCTACGCATTTCGCTCATTTATATATCCACAATAAAACAATACATATCAAAAATATGAAATAAATTATTTATACTGATATATTGGGTTTTTGGACTTTATCCATCGTCCTGGTTTTTAAGATAACAAATAAAAACACGACGTTTCGGAAACTGTATCTGTTTCCGTCCTCAGGTGAAGGAAAACACCTATTCTGTTGGGTCCATTAAAAAGAGCTAGCCTCAATCACTGGATAAACCGATGTCACAAAACATGAAGATTACAAATACCTGAGACCAGGTTAAGTCCATGAGAGCTAATAAGAAAAATATTCATAACAAATTGTAGCAAACACTTACAAGCGTGGAACCAGGATAGATAGATCTGCAGAAATTTATGCCACGAAACTAAACTCGTAACCAGGTCCATGACCCCACGGCATGGAATAGAAAGAAGAACTAGTAACAAAAACTAATAGTGTCTAACTAGCGTCAACAATGGAGTAAATCACGTCTATCTAATTTAGAACTTAATAGAAATAAATAAAAGCATATATCACGTCATACATATCTTCTATGTGAATTGGTGACTTCAGCAACTCAAATCTTCAGACGATTCTGTCAGTGATGACGGCCAAGACGTGTATTAACAAGCAGCTGATAACTGTAGCAGTAATACTGTGACATGACGCCTGAAAGCCTGAACTGTGGAGCCAGAGTAGACGTTCACTGCTAGGCAACGACTCGATAAACAGGTTCCCGCGGCAACGAAGCAAGCAACAACCGAAGTATCGTTGAGCTATATCGGTAGAAATGGTGTTTTCTGTTCGATCAGCCCCGAGGCTATATAATGAGGGTCTCAGATCAGCTGAGAAATAATTGCGAGAGTCCCCTGAGATGGCGGTGGAAGAAGTTTGAGAAAAGATGGCAGCGAAATAGTTGGCAGTTGCGGCAAAGAATTGGATTGAGAGTTTCGGAGTTGAGGGGTGGACAGAAGTTGAAGAAACTACACCCTTGTGGGGTCTCTACCAGGCAGAACAAAATGAATGAATGAGAATCTGAAGACTTTACGTGTGCTGTAGTTACAGTGAGACTCTTATAAATCCGTTGCCAAGATATGACTAGCGAAGACTGAGAAGAGTTAGTGTATCTTAGTGATCTGAGTGTTGGAATCAGCAATACTGATGTAATTACTTGTAGTTACGAGTTGAGTGTATTAGTGCAATAAATCTAATCGTCCAATCCAAACCCCGTGTATAGTAATTAATACACGTGACATTTACATGCTAAGTGTGATCAAGTTCACTGTTCTACGACGTGCAATATTATGATAGCATACCGCTCTTACCAGTACTAATGGCGAGTTAGTTTAGCATCGAAAACATTTTATATCTAAGTTCCCTATAAATCGCCTGTATCTGGAGATAAATTAGTGGACGGTTCAAGATTTTGATATATTTTTATTTCCTATTTATATACCAGGCGTTTGTCTAACTATTAGTCACATCCCCATTCCTTCCCCTCACGTCATAAGTCACAAATAAGTGGATTAGGAATACAGAGTGTCAGGATGAAAGGTATCCTATATATATCTCGGAAACTAATTGTCGTACACGTATCCGGTTTATGTCATCGGGAAGGAAAAACTTGTAAGTTTCTTTCCCCATGCCCGGCTTACGCGCATGCGCCGCCACATTTCTGCCACCATGTTAGGAATCACTTGGACATAGAGATGGCTGGGAGATAGATCGGCATAAGTGGATCAATCGCTTGGCCTCCTACGTCGCCAGATTTAACTCCACTGGATTATGTCTTGTGGGGTTATATGAAGAACATTGTCTACCAGGTTAAGATCAGCGACCTGCAACACCTGAAAGCCCGCCTAAGGGACGCTGTGGCTACGGTAACACCAAACATACTGGATCGTCTGGATATTTGTCGTGCCACCAAGGGAGCCCACGCTGAAATTTACTGAGATAGTTATATACTCAGAAAATAAAAACTTTGATAGTGTCCTTTTGTAGTGGTTTAACCCATAAATGTGTATAACAAATGCTTTCTGAGATATAATTATTTTATTTTTGATACCTTTCATCCGGACACTGTACTGTGTAGCATGCATTCGGCAGCTAAATGAAGAAGGAACAGACGGTGGGTATATGCAGTTTATGTATGATATCACGTACCTTATTATCATCTTATGCTGAAAACAGATTCCTAAGGAAAACGTTCGCTTGACGTGGAGGATAGCCATCATGATTTCCGTACTTCACAATATTGGAACTCTTCTACTGATGTTGTGTGAGACTGCGCGCTCCGGACACATGTACCGGATACTACCAACCGCCATATTTGAATAAACAAGCCTTCTGCGCTTCGATATCGGTCATGTTGGTTCTTACGGATCTAAAAGGGCGGCGCCATAGCTCAAGCGGTTAGTCGCTGGCTTCCCATCGCGGCGGACCGGGTTCGATCCCAGGTCTGATCAAGTGGGATTTGTGGGGGACAAAGTGGCGCTGAGGCAGGGTTTCTCCTAGTACTTCGGTTTCCCCTGCCAATCTTCATTCCACCAACTGCTTCACAATTACCCTAACCTCTCATCTGGGGCTGGTACAATAGACCAGAAGTGGCCGCAGTACAAGGGACTTAGTCCCACCCCACTAGCAATAAAAGAAATACGGTTCGAAAAACGGTTTTCCAACTAAGAACGTTATGCAAAATCATACATAAGAACAACATTGAATGGTGGGTTGACATGGAGATATTCATGTCCTCAGGATACTATTCCAACATCAGCCTGAACAGACTGAAAATTAAATACGAGAAACCTAATTCGGGGTAGCTGTTAACCCGAACGTGAGTCGAACTGGATACCGCATGAACACAAATCAAAATTATCAAATCTTTTTGGTTGGAATCCTGCTGTGTATTCGATATTCGTGTTAGTTGGGCCGCCAACGCAACATAAAATGTATTTTTCAAGCTGAAGGAAAAATACATAATACTGTATAATATTTATTATGCGCAAGTGTACGCTATATGTTTCTACTTCTTTTAGGTAATCATGAGCCGAGTTACAAGAAACACAGACTAAATGTCTGAATTGCGTTGTCTTAATTTGGATCCATATTTTACAGTATGTTGTTACTATTACAGCGAATACACCTTTGGAGAATGCAAAATAATATACGATGGGGTACCCAAAAGAAACCGAACTAATTTTTTTTTTGTGGGCAGAGCTTTTGTAGTACCGCGTTTTGCCGCTATGAGCGCATAGAGCTAACATTCCTGAGTCGATAAGCCGACTACCGTTGCTTCAGAAGGTAAGGACTAGTTTCGGCAGAGTTTATAGTGACAACTGTTTTGTGTGATCGTCGTTTTTGCAATGGCTGATTTTCGTGAACAGCGTGCGGCGGTGAAATTCTGCTTTTTGCTCGGGAAAAGTGGAACAGAAACTCTTGAAATGTTAAAAACGGCGTACAAGGACGATGCTATGGGGAAAACTCAAGTGTTTGAGTGGTTTTCCCGTTTCAAAAATGGTGAAATGTCAATTGATGACAAACCTCGTTCTGGTCGTCCTTCCACGGCCCGAACACATGAAAATGTTGAAAAAATTCGTGAAATCATCAAGGAAGATCGACGACGGACCATTGAAGAAATTGTGGAGCTGTCGGGAGTGACTTGGAGCTCAGCGGCCAGATTTGTGGCAGTCGAGTGACTGGTTTTTCCATCATGACAATGCCCCTGCTCACACAGCCCTGTCTGTACGACAATTCTTGACCAAAAATGGTATGACCCCTGTTCCTCACCTTCCATACTCACCCGACCTTGCCCCGTGCGACTTTTTTTTGTTTCCTCGAATGAAAAGAGACATGAAAGGAAAAAACGACGGAGGCGATGTCAAGCATCTCAAAAGATGAATTTAGACAATGTTTTGAAAAATGGAATAAAAGACTAGACAAGTGTATTAGTGTAAGTGGAGAGTACTTTGAAGGGGATTGAAGGTTTGTGCTTAAAATTTGAATAACTAAGTTAAAAAAAAATAAGTTCGGTTTCTTTTGGGTACCCCCTCGTATATGTAAAATCGTAGTGATGCGCAGTCTTCGCTACAATAATAATAACAGACTGTAAAATATGGAGCCATATTAAGACAACGCAATTCGAATACTTAATTCGTTTTTCTTGTAACTCTCCTAATGATAACCCAGAAGAAGTTGAAACACGTACACCTGCGCATGATAAACAAATAACAGAGATACAGTAGTATATATATTATGTCTTATTATTTTATATTGTATTGACGGCGAAATTATACGATTAATAAAAAATCCAAATAGTACCTGTAGCATAACCTGTTCGGTTTTGGAAAGGCCGTAGAGTAAATAAACAAAACTTGAGTGTTGCTTAGACGTGCAGCGTGCTACAAAGGAGGCGTATATTGGAACATAACAACACGAAATATTCACAGGACTGAGTGAAGGAAACAGCTGCAAAGAAATCTCCTTATCGTAACGCCAGCCGCTCGCCTGGTATAGGGATTTAAAATGGAAAATATGATTTATGAGCACAAAGCATATTCGGAACGACACAAAGCTACTAGAATGCTTGCATTAAATTCTGTTCTCCATAGCAAATAAAAAACATAGATCCTATTCCAGCGTTTGAGTATGTCAGAGTTAAATCCACTTAAAACCGTGTCATGAAGCTGCTGTGATAAGGTACTCACCCTCACGGAGCGTCACCATGTAGTAGGATTCCTTGCTGGGTCTACTCCGACCCATTGCATTTACGGCTAGCACCCGGAAACTGTACACGGTAAAGGGGAAAAGGCCCGTCACTTGGTAACTCGTCTCGTTACTCAGCGTCAGGATGCCGTTGGTAACATCCCATTCCCCGTCCTCGCCAACTCTGCAAGAAAACACACATCATCACTTTCGTAGCCATGAATACAGAACGGATACTTGTATGTTCTCGGCACAATTAGAATAAAGTGAAGTTAACATGAGGAAGTCGCGTCTGTCAGTCTATTTCTCCTCCAATTGATTTCCTCACTAAAATTCTGTATTAGTTTCCACCTCATCCGTACTTCCCAGTGACACTTCATATATGTATACCTAAGCCTATGATAATAGCCAGCATAGCGGACTCGGTATAGCGACTGGCTACAGGATAGACGATCGAGGGGGAGGAGTTCGAGTCCTGATAGGGCCAAGAATTTTCTCCCTTCCATGTCGTCCAGACCGGTTCTGAGACCCACCCAGCCTGCTATCCAATGGGCACCGGGGGCTGTTTCCCCGAGGATAAAGTGGCCGGGGTGTGAAGCTGACCACCGAAATCAAGAAAATGTGGATCTATACGTCCACTCCCCCATACGTCTTTATGGCTTCTGCTTATTTGGTTAAGCACAGCGACAACTTTACCTTTTTTTCCTTTATGCCTGTCATAAAGATTTCAGTTGTGCAGTATTCGCAGTAATGCGCCTTGTTAATTCTATTAGGCGACAATATTTTCCTGAGCACCTTGTTTTGTAGAGATTGTAATTTATATAGTTACTTCGAAGTTAGGATACACTTCTTTTTCACAAACCTCAGTGCAGTCACTTTTTCTAATTCCTATATTAAGAACAGGTTAGTAATTTGATAAATTCATGAAACTGAATAATGGGAAGTTATATACATGACAAAAATAAGTTTGGCTACTTCAAAACGTCGTAGAAAATAACATATAAAACTTGAGGCATCAGTAAGTGCCTTATAAACTGATGATAAGAGAGTGGCAATCCATGAAACTGTGACTTCTTCATCCTCTTCTTCAAGACCTGAAGCAGCAATTCAGCATATACATTCTCTGATTGTGGCGATCTGCTAAATCCTATTTTGAAAAAAATACTGTTACACCTTCAAGACCCCTCCTCTTCCAAGGCAGAGAAAGACGCGAAATCATTGGTGGGCCAAGCCCAGCGGGATCCACGGTGCGGGCCAGTACGTTCGGGACTCCGATAGTGAGCACTTGAATCCCACTCAAGGCATGGATGTCTGTCTTCATTTATTCTGTGTTTGTGTTGTTCTTGTGTAGGTAACGGCCTTGCGAAGGTCTGATCCCCCATCCAAGGAGTCCTACCGACTGTCTGAAGACTAAGAAGCTGAAGTGAAACACAGCGGTTCATGGATGCCCTATTGTAGATTGTAGAATGGGAACTTAGAGCACAATTACAATGCATAGATGTAGGAAGAAGAGAACTCGGTCGACTTAGAATTATTATAGGGTTCGATCCCGGGTCTGGTCAAGTGGGATTTGTGGTGGACAAAGTGGCGCTTGGGCAGGTTTTCTCCGAACACTTCGGTTTCCCCTGCCAATCTTCATTCCACCAACTGCTCCACAATCACTCTCACCTATCATCTGGGGCTGGTACAACAGGCCAGAAGTGGTCGCA